GCAAAAGCAAAAAACAAAATGAATATGGCATTAGAAATGCCCTGCTAACTTCAAAAGCAGGAATACTGAGCACAGAAAACTTTTTCTTTCATTACCCTCTGTCAATAGTAGAACTAATTGAAACCTTCTAAATTTAAAACAGAGCAGCATGTAGTCTCTATCTTACCCTACCTATACATCAATAGGTCATTCTCAGTTAATTAAGTGGAGGCGTAATCAGCTTAATTTATGTACTCCAAAGCAGTTAATGATATCTTAGTACAGTACCTGATGTTTGGCCTGCCCATATAACATGCAGAGTATTCCAAATTTATTCTGTTGCTCTCTGACTTCAGTTTTCTCTTTTTTTTTCCTTTCTGCATATTTCTTGTCCATCTGTTCATGCTGAAAATAAATCAAAATTCCTAAAGTAAACAGCAAAAGGGAGCCTTAATTAAAATAGCAAGCTAACAATAATGACATTCCTATAAGCTAACAATAATGACATTCTTATAAGGCATAAAACTCTAAATAAAACAGTAACTTGTTATAGAAAAAGCTATAAATTAGCAGTACCAAAGACATTTAGCATTGCTTATAAAAGCTAAGTCTAACAGAGAAACAAGACCAGGAAGCTTAAAAGTTTTATAGAATTATATCCTGAATGCTGCCTGCTAAAAAGAAAGAACAAATAAGTGTTGGGTTTAATAGTTTTATAGGTGTCTGGATCCCAGAAGTTCAAAATGTGGTACCTAGACAAGTAGATGATCATTTTTCTATTGCAGCAAAAATGCTTCCTTCTTGCCATCTCTGTAGCTTGTCTTCATTTTACTGAAGCTGCAAGTTTACACACAAAGACAAACCACAATGTCAACCAATTGGACCTCACTTAAGGAACCGAGGCAATCGATTCGTAAAGCAAAGAATGAACAGGACCCCATTTCTGAAGTACGTTGCTCAAACTGCTCTTTCATTAAAAGATGCTCTCTCTTATTGATTTTGGCTTAAGTAATGAGAAAGCTTATCCAAAAATCTTTAGCATTTGGGCTCAAGTTAAGGAAATCAATAGAGTCATTTCCCATTTGAACTGCATATGTGAATTTTATGTACGAGAGACAAGACAAAGCCCAAATCAGATAAATCAATAACATTGCCAATAGAACATGAAACTGACAAATGGCATTTTAAGCAATTAAAGTGAGCTGTAAACACAGAGAGGTTAATCAATTACAATCTTTGGCTATTAACAGTTTTTAATTTGTATAAATATTATATAGTAAAGTGATTCCTGGTAAATGAGGTGGTGCGTTTGCCTTTTACCCAATAATGGAACATTTATTGCAAAAGGATGTAAAGAATTGTATTTAAATAACCTACATTTTCCACAATTGTAATGGTATGTGGGAATGACCTTGGGAGACATGGCAATGAGATGCAGCCAAGAAAACCATGAGATAAAAAGCAGCTTAACCCATAACAAGAGTGTGGCTGGGAGAAGAGGGCAGAAGAGACCCTTCCTAGTTTCTTGGGTTGTAAAAGGAGACAGAAGAAATATTTTCAGACTTACAAGAATGTCAGCCTAATGAGGTAGACCCTACAGGAAACATGCTGAGTTTGAGGTAATTCTATTTTATTGTAAGGTTATATTAACAGAATCTTGCAAGTCTAAAAGTTATTCTCCTCCAAGTTCATTTTCACATACCATTACAATAATAAAGGAAATACATAAAATATGGGTATTAAAGTGCAACCTTAGGATGATCAATAAAATACAAAATTCAGGATTCAAGGACTTATCACATGATTAAACAATCTTTTTTCAAGTACCATTCCTACAGGTTTTGGTATGAGACATACTATCTTTATTCTGAACATAAATATTAATAATATTGATTTGCAAAATGCTTCATTTCCATATAATACCAATAGAACTATGACACATACTACAGTCTCTCATTTTTATCTAGTTTGCTGAACTGGTTCTGAAATCTATAATCCAATACTTGTGGAAGTCTAAATGTTTTTGTAACTGAGTAACAAAATCTAAACAAATTATTGTTCAATGAAATAAAGTGTTGATCTTAGCAATACTTGACAATACTTCTCCTCAGATTTGGGTGGAAAATGTTAAGAGTGAAAGCCAATCTATGACTTCTTTTTTTCAAAGTAGGAAGGAATCAAGATATAGTCAGCGATACAGAAAGTAAATTTTTTAAAAAGTAAAAGTTTAACTTTCCCAAATTCCCATAATAAAATGCTACCATTTTAAATTTTGTTTATAGATTTTAGCTGTATAGGAAGCACATTAATGGAGATCTTTAACAATCCTGGTATCAAGTAGGAGACAAACTCTACATGTAATTGAACATCAAAGAGGTTCTTGACAAACCTAGCAGATAATCTTGTCTGAAAATATACAGGAAGGAACAAGAGGGTTGGCTGTACTAGACTTAATTCATATTAAGAGAGATGAAATAATAGAAGCGGTTGAAGTTACAAGAATTTTGGTGGAGTGTGACCATGCAAATTTGGAATTTAACATAATGCAAGCACAAGCAATAGAACATAGTCAAACTAGTGTCTTGGATTTTCAGAGAGCTGATTTCAACAAACTTGGAGAGAGCCTGGGAAGGTTTCCATGGCTGGAAATCCTCAAGGGGAAAACAATGCAAGAAGCTTGGGGAACTCTGAAAATGAGGTTATAAAAGCCCAGTCTAGCACAATACCACTGAAAAAAGAAAATAAGATATCCCAGAAGAAACTGAATGGCTGCATAAAGAACTCTGATAGCACATAACTAAGATAGAATACCAGCATACTGTCCAAATCTGGAAAGATGAAGTCAGGAAAGCTAAGGCTCACAATGAATTTAGTCTTATAACAAATGTAAATAATAATAATAATGTTTCTTTCAACATGTAAAAAATAAGAAAAAAGTCAAGAAAACTATAATTCTACTAATGAGAGAAGATTAAAGGGCAACAGGGAGAGAGTGGAACTGCTTAATTCATTCTTTGCATTATCTTTATACAAAAGGGAAAAATAGTGCAATATAACAATAATACCAGAAAAAATATATTAGGAATACAAGTTAAAATGGACAAGAAAATGGTAAGAAAACACCTATCCGCTCCAGATGAGTTTAAATCACCAAAACCAGATGGATTATAACCCAGGGTTTTGAAGGAGCTGGCAGATATGGTCTTGGAACTACTGAACCATATAGTTCAAAAATCCTGGTGTAGTAAGGAATCTACCTGAGGACTGGAAAAGAGCTGATGTGGTTCCAATCTTCAAAAAAGGAAAAAAGAACGGACTCAGGAAAATACCCACCCATCAATACCTGGGAAGATTCTGGAAAAGATAAAGCAATGGATCCGCAAACACATAGAAACAAGCAAAGGTCTTCCTAGAAGACAACATGGGTTTGTATGTGCATTCTTTGAAAAAGTGTCTAAATTAGTGGACAAGCAAAATGCTATGGACAAAGTATAACTGAATTTACATTTGACAAAGTAGACCACTTAAATACGAGTCAGCAATGTGCTGCAGCTTTCTAAAAAGCCATACTTGGAATACTTCATCCAGTTTTGATCAGCATGATCTCAAAAAGATGTTGAGACTCTAGAAACAGTTTAGAGAACAACGATTAGGGACTGGAGGCTAAAACATGAAGAAAGGACACAGGAACTAGATATATTTAGTCTAATGAAGTCTAATGAAGAGAATGACTAGGGTTGATATGGTAACAGTTTTCCAATATTTAAGTCACTGTCACAAAGAAGAGAAGGGCACCCTGTTCTGCAAAGCATCTGAAGACAAGAAGTAACAGAAACTTATCAAGCAGAGGTACAAATTAGAACTTATGAGAAATTTCTTGACAGCGAGAACAGTGGACTGGCTTACCTGACGTTTGAGTGCTCTACTATTAGAGGTTTTTAGAAAGTGATTAGTCAGCCATTTGTCTGAAATGGTATACGGTCTCTTGCTTCATCAGGAGATTGGACTAGAAGACCTTCAAGGTCCCTTCCAACTCTGCTACTCCTCTTCTCGGTCATGTTAGGAAGAGCTCCAGTTTTTTTGAGAAAAGATATGCAGTTAGAATTTAAACTAGTTCACTTTTTCCTGCTACTGCTTCTTGCTTTTCCCCATCATGAATTAATGAACACCTGGACTCTTATTAGTTTTTGGACATACTCCTCAAGAACTCTTATTTACCTTCTCCAGCCTCATTGCACTCTGAAAGTTAGCTTTTGTGACTCCATTCTTACAGCTTTGGGCCTACAGTTCTCATTATCAACCTCTCCTTCAGGACTTATCTCCAAGGGGGATAAGTCTGCCTACCGAGATGAGGTGGACCAGTTGCTTTTGTAGTGTGGAGACCATAACCAATAAGACCAAGGAGCTTATAGTGGATTATAGAAGGAACAGATCAGACATCCAACCCTTGCTTATCAATGGAGACCGAGTGGAGAAAGTGGCCAGTTTTAAGTTTCTGGGTGTTACCCTAAAAGAGGACCTGACCTGGGGTGCCCACATTGCACCCTAGTCAAAAAGGCTCAGCAGAGATTATACTACCTGAGGCTTCTCAGAAAACAACAACTGAATGAGAAACTGCTGGTGACCTTCTACCGCTGCACCATAGAGAGCATTTTAGCATACTGCACCGCTGTATGGTTTGCCAATTGCACAGTGGCAGGTAGGAAAGCAATCCAGAGGGTTAATGTCATTGTCCAGAAGATCATTGGTTGCTCTCTCCCCTTTTTGGAAGAGTTTTATAGCTCCCACTGCCTTAAGAAAGCTCAAAACATTCTCAAAGATCCATCTCATCCTGGGAACCCTTTTTTTAACTATTACCATCTGGCAGACAGTACAGAATAATAAAAACAAAGACAAATAAGCTGAAAACCAGCTTCTATCCCATTTATACGGGTGTCTTCAGACTTTTTCCAATTTTATTATGAGATTATATTGTTTCAATATTTAATTTTTTTCAAAATTGCCCATTCTACTTAAGACTTATCTTTTAAGACTTGAAGCCCACCTTTCACCTAATTTCATTAAATTCAACCCTCCTCATCAGCAGGACGTGTAACTGACTACTATCAGTTTTATCTCCCTCAGGTATTTTAAATTCCATCATGACATAGGCAGTTTCCCTGAAGATGTCTGACACCTTCAGTCCATTGACCAATCCCTCTGTGAGGACTAAGTCCAAGGAGTTGATTCCCTTGTTTCTTCTTCCATCTCTAAAAAATGAAATTGTCAGCAGCAGACATAAGAAATCTGTTTTACTTCTCCTTCCTAGCTGAGTTAATTTTCCAGCTGATATCAGGGTAATTGAAGTCTCCCATTACTACTATAGCCTGCCCTCTTGAACTTTGTGGGTTGATTTGAAAAAGAATAATTCACACTTCTTCTACCTGGGTAGATGTCTGTAATAAACTTCCACAATGGCATTAAATCTTATGGAGATCTTTTCACAGGATTTCTATATCAAGGATTATGATTTTTTTTTCCACAGGTATATCAGTTTATACATACTTGGCTTTCTTTTCTGTTGAGTCTAGCATCAGCCCAGCCACAATAAACTCTAATCTTGATAGATAATACACACTAAAACCTATTTACTTTTGTCTTTTCCCAATAAAACCTTTTGGGTCTCCTGGCCACCATAATATCTAAAATACCTTTGTGCATATAAATTAGGATCTATATAAACAGAGGAAAACTTCATGCTCTGCATGCATTTTTATTCAGAAACAAAGGACGGGTTTTATATGCTTTAAATATATGCTGTACTTTAGTTCTTGCTGCAGCACCTAGATGAATCTATTGATTACCAGTTTAAAACATTACTGTATCTTTATCTTAAATTCCATACAAAAAGGATTTTCTGAAGTTTCAATATGAACAACAAACAATAAATATTGTTTGCATTCATATTTTTTCAAGTTCATGCATTACTTTAAATGCATAGAGTTTCCGACAAAAAAGAATTAGATTAGCCATTTCAGCATTGCAATATAGCAATATTATAAAATTATTTCTGAAATCAATAATGCTTTTGGTTCCATGGCTAATCTTATACTGGAATGCTGTTTATAAAGATATTAAATAAATGGATTACTCAGATCTTTGCTATGACTTTCCAGAAAAAGATTCTTCAAGAATTTATAATTTGGAATTGGTATAATAAATGAATGCAATTTTTATAGTGGAAGGTACAGTAATATATATAAAACAAATACTCATTGAATTATACAGTATGATAACATCTACATGCCTAGTTCTACTTGTCATTTTTTCTGTCTTTTGGCCACATCACAATTCTAACAACTTGATTTATCCACTACATTTAATACATAATATAACAAACACCAATATGTATGGCTTATAATGTATAATTTAAACATGATTATTATATATTTCACCCCTACCTTCCTGACAACCATGATCTCTTATTCATTGAGATATTTTTGTATCTATGAAATGCAGTTCCCCATATGAATGTCAGTTTGAATTAATGAATATTTTCATAAAAATATTCCAGCAATGAATGTTTTAAAAACCTTGTCATAACAATCACTAAATTTACACATGACAGCAAGCATGTATTCCTGCATTTTTATCTTAAATATTTGATGATTTTCTCTTTAAACCTAAGATTCATAACCCAAAGGACTTTGTTTTCCTATGGTATATGGAATTCAAGAGACATTAGAACAGCCTTCATTTTCTGCATCAGTAATATTGTTCAGAGAAGCACTAGATAACATCTTTTATTTCTACTCTGCTGCTTTATTCAAATATTTTAATCACATTTGTAGTTATTTCCTCCTCCGAATTCTTTAGCCATATCTGCACAGAAATTATTATCAGTGATCTCTTTGTCCCAAGTAAAATGGAAATAATTTTTATAATGTATTATGAAAGAGAATATATTAGAACCTCCTTCTTTCTCCTATGTATACACATATATTTAAGTGCTCATAAATAATTCTGATTGATTATCATAAAAATATCCTTGGAAACTACGTCACCATAAGCAATGATGTATGGAGTACGGATATTCTATTTGCTGATAGACAAAGCCTGAAAATACAGACTTGTGATTTCCTCACACATTTCCAAAAATGGTTAAATGTTTTTACTTATTTAAAAAGGAAACCAACAAACCATTGTTGGAGCAATATATTACCATGTTATAACTGAAGGTTGTCCACTGAAGGGTCACCCTCACTTGACCTTGTTTGCACAGAAAGGTAAGCTCACCATGGTAACCTTGGTCTTGTGGCTTTCTATACAGTAAATCATTTCAGCTCTCCTTGTGTAATTCTTTTATTGGCTGTGCAATTGAAATGTCATGCTTCACGAACAGAGAAGCTAGTAATTTCTTACGGATGATTAAACCACCTCTGTAATGTATGAGCATGGATGAAACTGTATGTAACAGTTTTAGGCATGAAAATCATGGGAGGAAGAATGAACACTTACATTTTTCAGATGCTTTAATACACAATTACCTATGATCACATACTACCTAAAGATACGCACTTTCCGGACATAGCCATGCACATCCTTTTTTAGACTCTTCACAGAGACCTCTCTGAAATAAGTACTTTCCTTTTCAAATCCTTGTTGGATGTAAGTGTAAAAATGTCAAAGAAGGCATACAGAGGACCATTAATACATTAAAAGATTGCTTTTTACCCAGTCTGTTCACTTTATCTCCAGTAATAAAATTGAAGAAATTAAAATCAAGGATTATAATTCCAAAAAAGTCCACTGTATTTTCAAATATTTTTTGTATGATCTTCCAAAATATATTCAGCTTAGTTCCATGTTTGTTAAAATGTTTTATATATTTATACCCAAGTGAAAAAATTAAACTCACCTTTCTTTTCAATGAATAGTTAACAGCTCCCTAACTTTGTTAACCAAAGAATACCAACTTTAACTGAAACCCATCCCGGAGATTTCCCTCAAGTATGAAAATATATCTGTGACATATTTGCATAATATATAAGCAGACAGTTATGGCTCTATATAAAACTTTCAAAAGCTACATTCCAAAAATGACAAAGCCAGGACAAAAAGAAATTTATAACGTAATTAAATTAATTGCCTATAAAACAGGATATCCCATTTGCAAAATTAATTGATTCTCATCGGCATTCATACAAGCTACCCCATCATAGAAACATTGAAAAATATGTACACATATATCCCCTTCTCCCCTTTTTCCAACACAGAAGGAAGAATATGGAGAGCAAAGGAGGATGAATTCAGGGACCAGAATAAAGCAGCTGCACAGAGAAATATGTAGAAGAAAAGCTTCTTAAGCATTAAAATCCACTTGGGACCTCATCCCTGCCAAATAGCATCAATGTTCAGGCTAACCTTATGTTATCTGCAGTTTACCAAAGGGAATACTGCAGCTATTTGCATCTCCTGCCCATTGTTTTGTTTTTGACAACTTATCAATTTAATAAGTGATATCAGTGAATCTAACAAGACCTTATGCACTACTAAATACTGGAGGAGGAGGAGGCCTTTTTCTTCCTACCAGGTAAATACAAAAGTTTATTGTATGAAGTAATAAGATGCATGAGCCCAACCAGTGTTTGGAATGGTACTGATGTTTGGGTTTATTCAATAACTTGCAGTACTCAGAAAACTATAGCGTGAACTTGCAATTTCATTCAGCACTAATGAAAGTTCCATTCCTTTCTGAGGAAACGTTACTCCAACGTGCACAAAAGGAGGCGATCTAGTGCACTGAAATCTATATATCGTACACACCAGGAGCTCATAAATCTTCCAACCACTGGCTTTTCTTCAAGACTATGAAGATTATATCCCATCTTTGCATATTTTAAATATATAGCATTTACTATATTTTGCCATGCAATGATACAGTCTCTTCAGGCTAGTACTATTTATGGCAACTTTCCTCATTTACAGCATATGGATTTCATTAAGAATGGCAGTTATAGGTGCCAGTACTAATTTGCTCTCTTCAAAGTAGATCAAAATATCCAAAAATCTCTATTTCTTAAATTACTTTAAATGTGCATGGAGTCACCCAATTGTCTTGGTATCATATCACCATACTGGAGCTGCTTTCCTGCTTCAATTTAATTAGAAATACATATTGAAGTCTAATTACTTTTGTTTAATGCCAGTGCCTATGAAAAATATATTCTGAAGTCTTTAAAATGATATATTCCTATAGTTGCATTTAAGTTTGAATCAAATTACCTGTTTTATTTTAGAAAAATATACTTCTTAGCAAATTACTGTCTATCTATCAGAATCTATTTAAAATTATTTTTCATTGGTTACTACACTGTACTATGTATTTTGAGATTTAAATAGCTGAGGAATTTTGCAGCTATCACCTAAGGTTCATAAATTTAGAGTTTTCAAACCATACTTCAGAATTGGGGAATGCATTTGTGATCGGATAGAATTTTTAACAAGTGAATTTGGCTGGGTTTGCATATCATATTAACCAATAATATGGCTTGATCATCCTATGGTTGATAAACCATAATTTATCAAAAGGGCACAATTTCATTGCGTTAAGAAATATAGCATGCTTTAATGTTGATAGGTAATTGGGAATTAGTCAATTGTGTGTCAAACCACTTTAATCTTTGAAAAGTACATAACTGCCTTTTGATATGTGACCTAATATTGACAACCTCTATGCTTTTCAAATATATTTATTTCAGCTTATCCTAGTTAGCAACCAACCCATCTGTGGTAAAATGTCCATGTCCTGGTTATAGATAATGACTGATCATTGTGGAAAACAGGATGTTAGACTAGACAGAATTTTGGTTTGTCTAAACACATTATTTCTTATATAACCAATACAGTCTTTCCTTCTATGACTATTAGAAAAGAAGAACACAAAACATTATATATTATGTCTTCATGATGTCTTATCTTTATGGTAAAACAATAAATGCAGAAATCACATGTAGAGAATAGACCATTGGGTATATTAATCTATTCATTGGC